CAAATAAATAAATAAATGTAAAGTGTGACATTAAAACCCAACAGTCCATTGGGATAACAAAATATGCCTTTCCAACAGTTAAGCAACATATTAAGTAAAAGAAAAATTTTGTGAGAAACAAAGAATAGGTTAATGAAATGTTATATAATATACATTCTCTTATATGGCAATAGATGCTGGATCATCTCATCACAAATGAAGAAGAGAACTGGAAGCAACATAAATGTTATTCTACAGAAGAATGCCAAGGATAGCATGGACCCAACATGTGAGCAACGACAAAGATTTGAGAAAATGGAAACAGAAAAGACACATACTCAATGCCAGGAAGAGACATTTGAAATTTCCAAGGTATTTAGTGAGGAAAGAGCTCTTGGAAAATCAGATACTCACAGGACATATTGAAAGTAAGATGGTTATAGGAAAACAATACATAACCTACCTAGCAAGCTTGTGTAAATGGAACAAGATTTAGGAGAGGTAATAAAAGGACAAAATTTATTAAGACTTACAAAGGATAGGAAATTGTGGAGAGCCTTGATCGGCAATGTCCTGAAGGAACATGGTACATAGAAGATGAAGGTGCATGGATGTATTATTGAACAACAATGCGTGCAAATGTTTAACAGAAAAATGCTCAGCTATTTAAATATCTTAATTAAAGGGTATAAAATTACTAATAAACTACCATATATACTCGCAGATAGGTCGCCCCACTGGATAGGTCACACACCTACTTTATGGCTTAATAATTTATGATTTACTGTTGACTCACAGATAATTCACACTATAATCTTGGGAGTTACACAGCTCTTTTCAAACGTAAATATTATCATCTATCTACATCATATTAGACAAAAGGAAGTAACTGTTGTACTGGTATTTTTATATTTAATTTACTGCATATTATTTTTATATCGAGTTAATTTGACAAAAACAAGGAATTAACTACAGAAGAAAATGTTGCAGTACATTTAGAAAAAAGTATCTATTTTAAAACCTACTTAATAACTCTTTCTTTTACTTATGATTAGTGTTTGCAACAATTAAAATTATAAACTATAAATTTGGCTACCAACTATATTGCTGCCCAATGCAAAATAGTGCAAACGTTTTGGGTACTAGATTCATGTGCGTAAATAACAAATAAGAAGGCTTTTAAACTTACATGAAACAACTATTAAAGAAAATTATCTCAAAGAATATATTTCATTTCTTCAAGTCATATTTTCCTATATATTTTGCAGAATGAATTGTGGGACTATTTTTGTTTTGTCAATAAACATCTACACATGGTTCCTTAGCTTGTATACGCATGTTCAGGGCTTCCATATCAGTCTACTAGTGCAAGGGCCCTGACCAAATGGTGACTGATGTTATCAATTAATATTTTATAATTTTATTTATTGTGATGGATATGTGAATCTTAGCAGCATGTGGTAAGTTTAAAGCAGTGAGTCAGTATATATGAGAGATAAATTGTTTCTATATGGAGAAAAACCACAGCTTTAGTGTTTATGGGTATCATTTCTGATTTCGCAGAAATCATGATGACAAGATAGTATTGTTTTACATTTATATTGAGCAGATAGGTCACACCCCTAATATTTTGTGAAATTTTAGAGTAAAAAATGTGCAATTTATCAGCAAGTATATATGGTAGTCAACAAATAACTAATCATATGCTATAAATGTCTCTTTTGAATCATGATTGACTGGGCAAAATATTTCCCACAGTCGGTTGCCATTCCTTTCTGTGATAGACTGATTGCCAACCAAAGCAATAGGACCTAGTCTATCCTAATATTCAATCCATAGCTGGAGAGAAAAGAAATGGATTAATTCCTTTCCCAAGAGCAGTTGCATGTAAGTCAATGTAATGAACCTGACTGGAATTCAAACTTGACGCTCCAATTTATGATTCCAATCTATTATCCATTACAACACACCACATGTCCAAACTTTATAGATTAGTAATAATCTCTATCTATAAAAGGCAGGATGTGTGTGTGTGTGTGTAATAAATACACAGTTGCAATTTTCGACGGATTTGCACCAAAATTTACATCCACAAAGATAGCGGGAAGGCCAAGAACGACTTTGCATTTCCCAACTTCCATCGATAGTGGAAATAATTGATTTTTTCATGCTTCTACGCAAGTTTTCATGTAGTTTGCGGCCATTTTCTACTGGCCAGAGTGAGAGCCTATAGCTGGCTGCCACAAATAGGCAGGAAGATTCTATTGGCCAGCGTGAGAGCCAACAGCTGACTGACATGAATGTTAACTAGCATGCTAACATGCAAAAAAAAAAAAAAAAAAAAAAAATCGATAGCTGCATTCGTCACAAGTGGGAAAAATTTAAATCTGCATGGCACTTTACTCCAATTGGCTTATTCACTTGCTTAAACTCAATGTTGATTCTGATTCCGCAGAACTGGGTTGGGTGTGAAAAAGTATTTGTTGTTAACATTCTTTTTTCATTCGGTTCTTCCAGTTACAAGTCCTTCTTTAAAGCTGATTGTTTTGTGTTCATTTTGTTTAGTTCTTTTTTCATAACAGATTTAATGTTTAGTATAGAGCTTAGAAAAAATTCACAGTGCGAGATAGGCAAGAAGTAAGGCATGTAGCAACATCAGCGCGGCAAAGGGCACTCCTTTAAAAGGTAAGAAGGGCAAAAATATTTTAAGTCAAGCGATAGCAATTGCTGTACGAGTTGTACGATTTTTGAATCAAGCACGGGCAATGCCGGGTCATGCTGCTAGTTTTTTAATGTTTTAAATGCTCCAGAATTTTTAACTCAGTAATTCAAAAGTTGTCTTTTCTATAAATATTTTCATGCTAACTGTTCTGATATGTTTACCTCTTTGGTACCTAAACTATGAATACTACTAGATTGGTGGGAAGGTTTCATCATCTTACTGTGGAAATGGTTAAATGTAGCAGTAAGTTCTATGTTAACAGTTTCTTCTCTCACTCTTTTTGTTTGTAGAACTCTTTTCTAGGTTCTTGCTTTCCAGTTAACTTTGATCTTCAAAAATTTAAATGCAATATCAATCATTATCTTCCATTAATTCCTATTCTTTTATTGTCCTCTCTTTTTAATAATGTTTTCTTTCTCTCATTTACTCACACTCAGTACCTCCTTGAAATGCTTAAGAAAAATCTTATTAATTTTCAGTAAATTTTTTTTTATTTTGTCTGAAACTGATTAATTAATAGAATATATTCTGATACGTGGTCCACTTTAATTTGTATGGAATATTTTAAGTGCTTTTGCTAAACTGGAGCTTGATTTGGTTGACATGATAAAATCAGAAGATAAAAAAAAAAAAAGAAAGCTCCATTTTGGTGCTCTGGTGATATAAGTGGGCCTATAGTTGAGCAGTATTTTGGCCCAGAGACAAGAAATGTTTGGTTAAACAAAGTTTACATCTGCCAAAAATTGCCAATGATTCACTGCTTTGTGTTTGCTATTTGGCAAAATAACATCACTAAGGTCATGCTACAGGGTGGGCCCAAAAATCCTTGAGCAAAATTGAATTTTTACCTGTTTTCTGAAGTTGTTAGGCAATAGGAGAGTTGGTAGCATAGAAAATAAATTTGGTAAACAAGAGTTACATTGTTCATACTCATTTAGTACTGAGATTGGAAAAGGTATACACAATGTTCTCCCTGCACTCAGAAAACAAAATCAGTTCAAATTTTCTGAATGAAGCTGTGCATGTTCTACCACCAAGGCAGTAAAAAAAAAAAAAAAAAAAAATCTGAGAGCATGATTTCAACTGTTTGTCTTTTGAAGTCAACTAATTCTTAAATTGTATTTTAATCTAGGTAGTTGGTTGATTTTATTTAGTGGCATATCAACACCTCTATGGGTTCTTTAATACCAAAATGTAAATATTTTGAACACAATTTTATGGTTTCAACTAAATATATTTTGAATGCAATTGTATGTCTTCAACTACAGATAAAATGCGTTGTTGGTCATTTTGCTATAAAATGCGTTGTTGGTCATTTTGCTATAAAATGCGTTGTTGGTCATTTTGCTATAAAATGCGTTGTTGGTCATTTTGCTATAAAATGCGTTGTTGGTCATTTTGCTATAAAATGCGTTGTTGGTCATTTTGCTATAAAATATATTGCTGGTCATTTTGCTATAAAATATATTGCTGGTCATTTTATTTTAAAAACGTGTTGTTGGTAATCTTTTTAAAAAAAAGGTATTGCTGGTATTTTTATACTTTCATAGTGTTTTATTTTTGTTGGTGGGAGGGGGCAGTCACCATTTGCCCATAGCTGGGACCCTAATAGGTGCTACCACCATGGGAGTCATGGTGGACCTGGGAAGAGCAGCAATTAAGAGATGGTTCTATGTTCTACAAAACTTCCAATCTCCCAATTGCTGCTAGATGTAGTTTATCATCATACCCATACCTATTAACCTTTCAGATGCTGGAGGTAAAAAAAAAAATTATGACTGTAGAATTCTCTCTCTTTGCATGCTGTAGGTACATTCTGTCACCTCAAGAGGGTTGCTATAAACAAACATTTGTCATATGTTATTTCTGGAAATAACAGTTAACAAGTGTTTATTTATAACAACTCTCTCAAGGCGACAGAATACGCCTACAGCATGCAAAGGGAGAGAATTTTACGGCATCCATTTTTGCCTCTAGCATCCTAGAGGTCAATCTAGGTAATTCCAAGTGTCCTTGCTGGTATAAGAATACAGCTGCTTTTGCATTTTTGTTCAGTAGATTGGCTGAACACAGAAAAGTGCCAGACAAAAATCAGTGCTGTTTCCACTTAGCAAATTATGTTAGAAGAAAGAGTTTGTTTTTAAGTGTATGTATAAAAGAGGAAATGTGGTATTGTATTGAGAAAAAAAAAACAATAATGTTTTGATCATTTTTATGTTTGCTGCCTCTGAGATCATTGACAGGAGAATGAAAATGGCATTTGAATGGTGGGAGGAGTCAAGAAAAGGAAAGAAAGATTTTAAATGAAAGAAAGGGGGTTATGTGTATAAAGAGGAATCAAGAGTAAAAGAAAAGCAAAAGGAAATATGAAAGACAAAAAGAGTGTGAAGTGAAAGAGAGAGAGAGAGAGAGAAAGGAATGAATGAATGAATGAAAGAAAAAAATCGAAGTAGACAAGACAAGGAGAGAAGATAAGTGGAGGAGAAGGAAAAAGTATGAGAAGTATGTTGCGAGAGAGAGAGAGAGAAAAATAAGGGTTAAATTGAAAAAAAATAGTGATTGTATGAAATATGAATATGAAAAATTTGGAAAAAATAAGATATTCCTGTCTATATATATATATATATATATATATATATATATATATATATATATAGAGAGAGAGAGAGAGAGAGAGAGAGAGAGAGTATGAGAGAGAGTGTATGAGAGAGATGAGAGAGATGAGAGAGAGAGAGAGAGAGAGAGTGTATGAGAGAGAGAGTGTATGAGAGAGAGAGTGTATGAGAGAGAGAGTGTATGAGAGAGAGTGTGTATGAGAGATAGAGAGACAGAGATAAAGATAGACAGAGATAAAGATAGACAGAGATAAAGATAGACAGAGATAAAGATAGACAGAGATAAAGATAGACAGAGATAAAGATAGACAGAGATAAAGATAGACAGAGATAAAGATAGACAGAGATAAAGATAGACAGAGATAAAGATAGACAGAGATAAAGATAGACAGAGATAAAGATAGACAGAGATAAAGATAGACAGAGATAAAGATAGACAGAGATAAAGATAGACAGAGATAAAGATAGACAGAGATAAAGATAGACAGAGATAAAGATAGACAGAGATAAAGATAGACAGAGATAAAGATAGACAGAGATAAAGATAGACAGAGAGAGACAGAAACAGAGACAGACAAAGACATAGGAAGCAAGTGACAGACAGACAGAGATATAGAGATGTAAATTATAACAATATTACTAATGTTAGAGAAACTTCTGGAGGTAAAAATAGGGAAATTTTATAAAAACTAAATGTTAATCAAAACAATCTGTCTTGTGCAGATTGTGTATTTGTCTATTTACATCTGTCTAAATACAGTCGTAAATTTGCTCATGACTCATTGTCAATATTCCATTTTTATTCTTTAACTAGTCTCCTCATCCTTGGTTTTTATTGTGACAACTTTGAGGACTGCATTCTTCTTTGCCCTTTTTTCTTCATCTTCTCTCTCAGATGCCCCTCTCTTACCTACCCCCACCTCCATCTACACACATCTTTTCCTTTTCTCTTCTAACATCAGCTCTGTTGATTATATATTTCTTAATGTTAATACAGTTTCCACTCTACCATGAATGAATAGTCAGAGATCTAGGTGTTAAACTTTCTCATAGATTGGTTATCCATCGCTAGATTTAAAAAAAAAAATTATTTATATAGTTTGCGATATTTGTATTCATTTTCTGTCATTTCATTGCAGTTAATTAAAGTCTACAGTTACCACCCCCTTATTCGCAGGGAATTTGTTCCAATAAACACCCACAGATGCTTGAAACCAAACACTATCATGTTTCTTTCCTACATATACATCTTATAGGCTGTGACTCTTCAGGATATGAATGAACATAGCTCTCCACAACTTCGTCTCCTTTGCAGCTCAATATAATGTTTGTGTTCTGTCATGACATGCACAAGCACGTTAGAGGAGAAACTGCAAGTAACCTACCTAACTAATAATTAAACAGAACAACAATAACATATACTGTAACAAAAATTGTGCATCAGAAGAGATTCAAGCTTAGCATAGATTTTTTTTTTTTTTAGCAACCTCAGCAAAAACAGAGAAAATAAAACATTAAATAGTAAATATAAAAGCCGAGAGCCAATAAAAACGGTAAAGAAAAAATGGAATAAAACATAAAAAAAAAAAAAAAGAAAATTCCACATCTGATCCTTACTGAAAAAAACTACTGAAAAGTCATAGTGCTGACAAGGTGTCTGCTATTAGGTTGCAAGTGCTTCCTGACAGACAGAATAAGTGCATCAGAAAGTGGCCCACAGAAGTGGGGTGGGGTTGAAATAGCAGTGGTGTCACATTTATACAAATGCAGCTGCATGTGCCTGAAAGGCCTTCAAGATATTTGAATGACATCATCTGCAAAACTGATCAGCTTTTTGGCACCAGTCTGAAATGCTTATTTTTTTAAATGCTTTAAAGTGTTGTAATATCACTGACCAAGTATTAGTTTAGTAATTTAGATACTTAAATATATCTATCAGAAATAAACACACTGATGCTGAGTATTCTTCCCCTATACATATAACAAATTTTCAACAATATATTTATATCTAGATCCTGGAAACAGTCTTCTGATTATTTAAATTTATAATCATGAAATGTTGATTTCTATATCCACACTATATCTATATATGCTCTATCTCCAACATTGAACAATCTTAGCCCCCCACCTCTACAAATAAAGGAAATTTTAAATTGTATTGAGACCATCAGATATGTAGACAGAAACAAACCCTGTTCTTATCATTTAAAGTACTTAAGTAAAATAATGTTAGAATAATAAACAGAACAAGAAAGACTACAGGAGGAATTGGTCAAATCATTAAGGAAATTGTTAATAATATTCAATTAAATTTGTGACAAAATCAGTCTCCGTTACACATTTCAAGTATGTACTCTTTTGTAACATCAAGTCATGGATATATAAAAAGGGAGTTACATTATATTTAATCAACTGTGAAACATTGAGGAGAAAAGAAAAAGAGGAGAAAAGGAGAAGAAAAGAAAAAAGAAAAGAAAAGAAAAGAGAAGAAAAGAGAAGAAAAGAGAAGAAAAGAGAAGAAAAGAGAAGAAAAGAAAGGAGAAGAAAAGAAAGGAGAAGAAAAGAAAGGAGAAGAAAAGAAAGGAGAAGAAAAGAAAGGAGAAGAAAAGAAAGGAGAAGAAAAGAAAGGAGAAGAAAAGAAAGGAGAAGAAAAGAAAGGAGAAGAAAAGAAAGGAGAAGAAAAGAAAGGAGAAGAAAAGAAAGGAGAAGAAAAGAAAGGAGAAGAAAAGAAAGGAGAAGAAAAGAAAGGAGAAGAAAAGGAGAAGAAAAGAAAAGGAGAAGAAAAGAGAAGAAAAGAAAAGGAGAAGAAAAGAAAAGGAGAAAAGAAAAGAGAAGAAAAGGAAAGAGAAAAGAAAGAGAAGAAAAGGAAAGAAAAGAGAAGAAAAGGAAAGAAAAAAGAGAAGAAAAGAAAAAGAGAAGAAAAGAGAAGAAAAGAAAAAGAGAAGAAAAGAAAAGAAAAGAGAAGAAAAGAAAAAGAGAAGAAAAAGAGAAGAAAAAGAAAAGAAAAGAAGAAAAGAAGAAGAAAAGAAAAGGAGAAGAAAAGAGAAGAAAAGAAAAGGAGAAGAAAAGAGAAGAAAAGAAAAGGAGAAGAAAAGAGAAGAAAAGAAAAGGAGAAGAAAAGAGAAGAAAAGAAAAGGAGAAGAAAAGAGAAGAAAAGAAAAGGAGAAGAAAAGAGAAGAAAAGAAAAGGAGAAGAAAAGAGAAGAAAAGAAAGGAGAAGAAAAGGAGAAGAAAAGAAAGGAGAAGAAAAGGAGAAGAAAAGAGAAGAAAAGAAAAGGAGAAGAAAAGAGAAGAAAAGAAAAGGAGAAGAAAAAAGAAGAAAGAAAAGGAGAAGAAAAGAGAAGAAAAGAAAAGGAGAAGAAAAGAGAAGAAAAGAAAGGAGAAGAAAAGGAGAAGAAAAGAAAAGGAGAAGAAAAGAGAAGAAAAGAAAAGGAGAAGAAAAGAGAAGAAAAGAAAAGGAGAAGAAAAGAGAAGAAAAGAAAAGGAGAAGAAAAGAGAAGAAAAGAAAAGGAGAAGAAAAGAGAAGAAAAGAAAAGGAGAAGAAAAAGAAGAAAAGAAAAGGAGAAGAAAAGAGAAGAAAAGAAAAGGAGAAGAAAAGAGAAGAAAAGAAAAGGAGAAGAAAAGAGAAGAAAAGAAAAGGAGAAGAAAAGAAAAAGAAAAAAGAGAAGAAAAAAAGAAAAAAGAGAAGAAAAGAAAAAGAGAAAAAAGAAAAGAAAAGAAAAGAGAAAAAGAAAAGAAAAAGAAAAGAGAAAAAGAGAAGAAAAGAAAAGAGAAAAAGAGAAGAAAAGAAAAAGAAAAAAAGAGAAGAAAAAAGAAAAAAAGAGAAGAAAAGAAAAAGAGAAAAAAGAGAAGAAAAGAAAAAGAGAAAAAAGAGAAGAAAAGAAAAAGAGAAAAAAGAAGAAAAGAAAAAGAGAAAAAGAGAAGAAAAGAAAAAGAGAAAAAAGAGAAGAAAAGAAAAAGAGAAAAAGAGAAGAAAAGAAAAGAAAAAAGAGAAGAAAAGAAAAAGAGAAAAAAGAGAAGAAAAGAAAAAGAGAAAAAAAGAGAAGAAAAGAAGAGGAGAAAAAAAGAGAAGAAAAGAAAAGGAGAAAAAAGAGAAGAAAAAGAGAAGAAAAGAAAAGGAGTAAAAAGGAGGAGAAAAGAAGAAAAGAAGAGAAGAAAAGGGACAGAAGAGGAGAGAAGAGTAGAAAAGAAGAAGATGAAGAGTATAGTAGAGAAGAGGAGATAAAAGAGAATATAAGAGGAGAGAGAAGAGGAAAGGAGAGAAAAGGACTGCAAGAGAATAAAAAAAAAAGAGAAAGCAAAAGAAAAAAATGAAAGCGGCAACTTTTCAAATGCCCAGAATTTTTATGCTATTGTGTGATATATGACACATGCAGAAAAATATGCATATCTGTGCATACACAGATGTGCACAAACCAACACAGTGACCCAAAACTGCCAAAACTTAATCCAATCTACACTGACAGAATTTAACTTTCAAGAGTTGGCAGCAGCCAACAAAATTTCCGTTTTGTTCAGATTCAAAAGCATGACAGACTAAAATATTTGGACACAGCTGATCTTTTGCAGTCGGCTTTTGAATAATTGTTTGTTTTTTATTTAAATAACGTTTTTCTCTTCTGAAATTATTTAAGACAATTATGGCAAGATTTGGTTACTAATTATTCTTTTCAATTAATATCCCCATCTATTGTCATTTTTAACACAGACTGGCTTCACTCTTGTAGCTACTGTATTTGATAAGCTTCAAGGTATTTTCAGCCAAACAATATATCATTCCTTAAAGATGAGGGCATGATTATTGTGCTTTATTCTCTATATGTCATGTCTGGCATCTTTCTGAGACATTTTTGACAGCTTGGATTTTTATTTTCTCCCTCACTTCTGCTGGAGCAATTCTTCTGAGTGGGTGTCCTCCATGGACTGAAGATACATTGTATCCTTATACAACAATGCAATACCTATAACAGGCCTGACTGCTATACAATTGGGGTCTGTAACTGAGAGAACATATATTGAGATCTAGATTACAATTTAGGGGGTATTTTTTTTCATCCTTGGAATAACTTAAGTTGATTAATTAAGACACTAAGAAAAGATTTGAGGTAATATAAATATGGTTCTACAGAAAGATGCTGCTAATATAATTGACTGAATATGGGAGCAATGATGAACTTTAGGGAAAATGGAAACAAAATAGACACATACTTAACATCACATAAAGCCAGTTGAAATTTCTAGGGTACATAATGAGGAAAGAGGGCTTGGAAAATTCAACACTGACAAGATATGATGTAGTGGAGTAATGGTTAGCAGCTCAGATTGAGGAATCAGAGTGTAGAGTTCAAATTCCAGTTGAGTTTGTTATATTCACTTACATACTAATATGGTATGAATCCATCACTTCTAAAATCTCTGGATAAAATAACAGGACAGACTGGGTCCTATAGCCTTGGGTTGAAACCAGTCCAGGAGAAGGAAACTGAATTCAAACTGTGTCGCAATATCCTAAAAGTGTGTATACATATGGCTAGGACTGCTTATGAATTCCAATTCCCACTAAAATTCCTACTATGGATTTGCACATTCAAAGGAATATGACCTCAGCCACACTTGGTCATCTTTTCTTTGGATGCAGCAGGTTCATTTGACGGAACCCGCTCAACTAACTGGGTGACAGCTGCTTACAAGTAACAGGATATAGTGATGGCAAGAAGGACAAAGGAAAGCAATACATAACCTAACTAAGTTTATGTAAATGGTTGGCAGAAACAGGTTTAGGAGAGATAGTGAAAAAACAAAAGTTAGAAAGAGCTATGAAGGACAGAAAATTGTGGAGAGCCATGAATGCCCATGTCCTGAAGGGATATGGCATATAAAAAAAATAGCTGATTAAGATCTTAAGACCCTCTTGTATTAAGCAATACAAAAATAAATCTGCAAAACCTTATAGCTTTAACAATTATTTGGTCTATTTTTCTTTCTAAGGATCTGAAGGGATATGGCTCACAAAAGAAGAGCTATAAGCATTGATTTATCGATTTCTTTTTTATGGCTTATCAACCCTTTATGGGTTATTTAATGTGGAATTATAAGAATAATTCTTTTTTGTGATTAAATTTTATATTAGAAATTCTTTTGAGAAATTTATTTTTTCGGATACAAATTCAACTATTTAACCCATAGCTGGAGGATGAATTCATACCTTTAAGGATATCTGCACATAAATGAATATAACGAACCAGATTGCAATTTAAACTCGGCTCTCCAATTTCTCATTCTGAGTCACTATCCATTACACCACCCTCACATCTGAGCAAAAAGCAACATTTCACTGAGTAAGATCAGCCCATTTGGAAGGGGCTAAAATCAATATCTTTTCTTTTGACTTGACTGACCTTAAAATAGACCTGCTTATCTTAATGTATATGAGTTAAAAGCTACACTTTAAGGAATAATATAAATATATATATATATATATATAAAAATAAAAAATCACAATTGCGATAGATAAAAATGTATCCCAAATAATTAACTTTACTTCTTGCAAGCAGCTAATGCAATACATTGCAAGTTCTTCATTCTGCAAATTCTCTGGCAGCAAATCAGATATCCATTTGTAGACTGAAAGCAATTATTGTCCTTGAGAGTCTGACAAGATAGTCCAACAATCTGACATCACATTCACCATTGAATTAAGTGCATTGACATGAGATCAAGTTTAAAAAAAAAAAAAAAAAAAATCAATATTTTCGTATAAAATAGATGTTTTTTCATCATTAACCTTATTGATTTTCTCCCCCCCCCACACACACATATTTACACAGCAAGAATTCAATCAAACAAGTTTTATTATGGTCTGTTTAATTTTTGTTTCCTTTTTCTAATTTATGAACAAATTGTTGTACATAAAATTCACAAAGTGGAAAAATATAATAAAAAAAAAATGAAACATACAGACCATATTGGTTGAATTTATCAAAACTTGTTTTATGAAATTCTTGCTCCCTAAATGTGTGTGTGTGTGTGTGTAAAAATGAGAGAGGAAAGTTCTCAGCTTGGTCCTCTTCCCCAAATCTGACCAAATGAACAAACATCAAAATTAATTCTTTTTTACCTCTTTTACCTTTTTCTACCTTGGTCAGACTGCAAATCTTTTAGTATCCCATAAATGATCTATATTAGTTCTTGATATTTATGAAGCTTAGTTCAGAACAAATTAAGGAAAAAATGGTATCATTCTTCCAGGTGGGGAAGGGAAGTATCTGCTCACCAATATTAAAAGAAAAAAATCATCCTTCAAATTTCTGACTTATAATAATTTATTATAGAAGTAAAAGGAACTAAAATTTTAATGACCTTTTCTATCTTTTTATGATTGTCATTTAAAAACACTTCAGACAAGCGAACACATAAAATGTTTGAGATGAAGAAACAATAATGCATTGCCACACACATTTTTATCAGTATTTCCATCTCACATGTAGATTTTTTTTTAATCGTTTCACACCAAGAAAGGCAATAATACCAATAGAAAGCATGGTGTTACTGGGAGGGAAAGAGAATAAGAAGACTTTAGTGGGGAGGATTAGGAAAAGGACAATAAAGGAACAGGGTTCAAGAATAAAGAAACTGGGTCCAAGAAGACAGAAAATGGTGATTGACATTGCATTTAAATTTTTGGAAGATTGTAGGTGGCAGGGAAGCAAGAAATTGGAAGGGAGTTCCACAGGTGGGAAGTGCAAGAAAAGAAACAAAGTAGAAATGATGGTTGCATCTATTTCAAGAGTAAAATATTGAGACCTATTTGCCAATCTAGTAGCATGCTTAAATTCATGTAGTAGAGCCCCCAGGGAAAAAAAAAAAAACCTTATCAGAACACTTGCCATGAAAATATTTGTAGAAAAGACAGAGGAATGCCATATCATATTGGTGACAAAGTGACTTAAGTCAAGATGCCTGATCAAGATCGATTACATTACAGATTCTTCTTTGAATTTTGTCAGGAATATCGATATATAGCATGACAAAAGACCTATCATATCAAAACTAAAGTCTTGTGATGATAGATCTTTTGTAACTTAGTTGGCATCATAAATTTGATGAAGATTTAATATCGGTAACTGAAAAAACAACTTACAAATGAAATCTCTTAATTCTTTTAAAATAATCATTCTATGAAATACTGACATTTCAAAATCATAAGACTTAACAAAAGCATTTCTTTTCATTAATGCAGACATTAACTTAAAAAAAAAATGTTTTTACAAAAGGCAAATAGCATTCCAACTTCTGAAAAGTTTTTAACTTCAGCATATTTTTTTATATATTCAAACCAATGCACAATAAATTATTCTGAAGGCATTGAAGTGGATTAAAATCCACTATGGTTTTCTGCAAGTAAGAAGTTGGTGAAATATTATGATTTAAATAAATGCAATGACAAAGTTTTGTAATATAAAAATCCATTAACTATGACAGCTATTCAGCAGTAAATACTAATAGCCAATAAGATAAAAGGACATCAGAAAGGTAAGTTGAAAGGAAAAAGTGAGGAAGGGAAGAGATAGAGGAAGAAATAAAAAGAACACAAGAATTAAGAATAGTAAAAAGTATATTTCAAAAGAATTCTATGTAAATGAAATCTATAAGAAAAGTGCAAAGACATTAAAAATAAAATAAAAATAGGAAAGAAGAAAAAAATAAACAAGATGGCCACACATCTGTTTCAAAACATTACTCATCAAAAATTGGCAAAATGGATGATACTGTTTCTTTGACACTGAGTATGAACATGAATCAAGGGGCGTGTCTATTTGTACCTGGAGATATGTGTGTGTGTGTGTGTGTGTGTGTGTCCTTACAAAAAGACATGGAGTGTGGACAGAGGAATCAACACTATTTGGAGACTGTCAGTTTCATGCTGCAATATGATCCTCAGACCAAGTGTCACAACATCTTTAGTGGGGAAGATTTTTTTTTATTGTAAGGTTCACCCATACATGGCCCAGGGGCCACTTCAGGTAGAGGGTTATGTTAAGGAATAGTTTATATGGATAGGAGGGGAAGTTAACGGTTAACTCTAGATTTGAAGAGGTTACGTTTGTAGTGATTGGGAAAATATCTTCTAGGGAGTCTGTACCACAGGGCACTGGTTCGTGGGAAGAAGCTGCCTGAGTGAAACTTAATTCTTGCCAATGGAATATGGAGGGAATATTGAAACCAGCCCTTCAGAGCTTCATTTATGCTGAAGGTTATTAAAAGGTCAGGACACCTAAATTTTTTTTTTTTTTTTTTTATTCATCCTAGTTTCCTCTTCTCCCTCCCCACTTTGCTGAATCCTCCCATGCCCTATATACCCACAGGCCAACCAGCAAAAATAAGCAATCAAGCGATCATGATCATTAATAACCCTCAGTACTTCTGAAACGAAGGTCATATTTTATAACTGAAAAGCTCCCTACCAATTTATATTTAATATTATAGTATTATACTCGGTTAACCTTGCCTATAGTTTCTGTCGTCCTGGGTAGGACGATAAACTACATCCGCGTCATGGGTAAGACAATAAACTATGTCCAACAGCAAGGCCTCTGATCAGGAGGTTTTGAGGCGCGTGGAACTACCTCTTAATTGCTGGTGACCCAGGGTGGTAGCACCTGTTGGGGTCCAAGCTATGGGCAAATAGTCAACACCCAAACTTGTGTAAAAATAGATTTTAATACCAGAAATACTTTGTAATAAAAAAAAAATTATTAGCAGCAATAATTTTTGAAGGAAAAATTATCAGCAACACTTAAAAAAAATACCAGCAATACAAACAGCTATACATTCTTTGGAAAAAATATGACCAGCTATAGATTTTTTAAGCAAAACACATTGCCAGCAATAAAAAAAATTTGTCGGCATTAAATAACCCATTGAGGTTGATATACCATAAAACAAACCAAATAGTACCTATAGTTTCTGAGTAAATATTACACTACAATATCAACATTTAACAATTAGGAGA